CGGGTCTCAGCCCTGCAGGTCTCCATGGACCGGCTCCGGGCCCTGAACAGCACCTTGGTGGAGCTGCAGGAGGGACAGCAGCAGCTGGTGCTGGCTCTTGAGAAGCACCGAGACCGCCTGCTCACCCTGCTGCAGCAGCCTGGGTGCAGGAAGGACTGCACAGACACCCAGGACCGGGCCCGAGCCCTGGAGCTGGCCGCTGACTTCACCCAGGTGCAGGCCAGGGGCAGAGGCTTGGCTCTCTGAAGGGACCCTCCAGCATCCTCATGGCCTGGGGTTTCCTGAGGCCCACTGCCCTGGTCCCCTCCCAGGCTGCTCCTTCCCCTCCTGAGCACTAGAGCCCAAGGCCAATGACCTTCACCTTGGCAGCGAGTCAGAGCTCTCCCCAGGACACACGTGGTGCCTTGGACTTCACGCACACTGGCTCTGGCASCTGGGCTGAAGCAGTCCCCACTTGACACCTGAGGGCTCAGAAAGGCACCCACCCYTTCCTCCYRCTGTTCCCTAGACATCTCGCCCCTTTGCAGGTGCCCCCTGTGGACAATGTCTTGCATCGCCTGAAGGGTGTCCCCRAGGCCAACTTCTCCAACATGGTCCAGGAGGTGAGCGCCCACTTGGGCCCCCTGACTCCTCTTCCTGCCTGGGCACTCACAAACGGGGACCTCAGTTTACCTGTTTTGAAGTGGGAATCCAGTGGAACCTAAGACTTGAGGCCACACCCGTCACCTTGGGCTGGGGGCTCATGACGCCGGTCCTTGGCGGAGGCAGGCCTGGGGTGGGGTGGGCTGGGGGTCAGTGAGCGAGCCCCTGGCTGAGCTCTGCCAGGCAGGCGGGCTCTCCTGGGTGGAGACCGCCCTGGGGGAGGGTGCCGGTGAGTCAGCACCTGTGACCTAGAACCTGGAGTTGGGGAAACAGTGAGTCAGCCATACAGGTGGCTGGAGCGGGAGGTTCTGGGAAGAAGGAAGTGGGAGCTGAGGTGGAATGGCAGATGGGAGCTGAACTTCTGGAGACAGGGCTGGCAGTCCTGTGCAGGATGGACGGGACAGGAGGGGATAGCTGAGGTGACCTGTTGTCTGGGAAGGGACTGGGAGTGGAAGGACAGGGTCTCAGACTGGGCTTTGCAAGACGAAAGCAGAGACCAAGAGAACCAAGGGACTGTGACCCGAGCAGAGAGCAGCCAGGAGGGATGCCCGCCCTCTGAGGCCTGGTGGCTTGGGACCCCCAAGCTGGGACACCAGCTGGAGGGTCRGAGGCACAACCCCCCTGGTTCCTGCAGGAGAACACTACCTTCAACAGCCTCCCGTTCCTGGTGGCCATGCAGATGGAGCTGGTGATCAAAGGTGAGCCCCTGGGAGCCAGGCTCTTCCAGGGGAGAGGAGTGGGGCAGTGGTGACCAGGGCTGTCCTCCCTGGCGGGCCCTCGGTAGGTCCCAGGGGTTCTTCCCTGGCCCCTGGGTGCCCTCTGCATCCCCTGAGACCTGTGGCTTCGGGCAGATCTGAAGGAGGCGGTGGCCCAGAAGCCAGAAGGCATGGGGACACTGGCTGAAGCGTTCCCCGAATTGGAAGCAGCTCCCCGCTGGAGCCGGGCCCTGGAGGAGTTGGAAGAAAACAGCCGTCCCTACCTGCAGGAGGCGCAGAGATACGAGACCTACAGGTACCCAGGGCCCTGGGGCCGSGCAGGGTGGGTGTCCGGCCTCTCTGTGGCTGGAGCCCCACCTCTAGCCCCCGCCACCCCTGACTGCCCTGCACCTCTGCCTGTTTTAAGTCAGGACCCCTGATTCGTCTCTACCCCGCTGTGTGCCGGGACCTGAGTAGCAGGGCTTCGGGAAGCGTCCACACCCGCTCCTCTACACTCTAGCCTTGGGTCCCGCACCAGCCCCTCCAGAGCTCCAACCCCTCTGTGACAGGTGGRCAGTGGGCTGCGTGCTGTGCTCTGCGGTCCTGCTCGTGGTGGCCTGTAACCTGCTGGGCCTCAGCCTGGGCATCTGGGGACTGTCTGCCAGAGAGGACCCCAGCCAATCGGAAGCCAAGGGCGAGGCCGGAGCCCGCTTCCTCATGGTGTAAGAAGCCCCTACTTCCTGGGAGACCCTGGGCAAA